CCGTCCCCGGGGCTTGCCACCCCGCCGCCAGCGCCGCATAACCCTAAAGAGCCCTGCCCCCGCTTCCGCTACCCGACCTTTTCCAATATGTCATCGTCCGTCACCGCCGCCGCCCTGCGCGAGTTGCACCGGCTGCACAGCCAGCTCTCCGACTTGCGGGGGCGGCTCGACCGTGGGCCGAAGCAGATCACCGCCCACAAGGGGAGCGTCGCTCAACTCGAAGCGGCCCTCGACGCCGCGAAGGCGCTGTCGCTCGACACCCGCAAGGCCGCCGACCGCAAGCAGCTGGACGTGAAGGCCCAGGAGGACAAAATCGCCAACTGGGAGAACCAGCTCAACAGCGCCAAGAGCAACAAGGAATACCACACCTTTCAGGAACAGATTGCCGCGGCGCGGATGGCGGCTAGCGTCCTCGAGGACGAGACGCTCGAACTCCTCGGCCGCATCGACGAGACCGCCGCCGAAGTCCACCGTCATGAGGAACGCCTCGCCGCCGGCCAAGCCGAACTCAAGAAAGTCGAGGCGAACGTCGCCGCCAACACCGAAGTCCTCAAGGCAGAGGTGGCTCGTCTCGAAGCCGACCTCGCTGTCGCTGAGAAAGCCCTGCCGGATGACTTCAAAGCCGACTACCGCCGCGTCGTCGATCGCAAAGGCGCCGAGGGCCTCGCCCCCTGCGAAGACGGCGTCTGCCAAGGCTGCGGTCAATCCACCACGCTACAAATGCAAGCCGACCTCCGGGCGTCAAAACCCGTCTTCTGCAAATCCTGCGGTGTGCTGTTGTATTTGCCGGAGTAGGTTTGAGGTGTTGAGGGGTCAGGGGCTAAGGGAAAAGCAGCGTTTGAGCCACGCCCGTCAGGAAATGGCGTTCACCCCGCGAAAGCCATTCACCACTCCGTGGATGGCGAGCCGTGAGCGTGAGCGACCGGAGGGTTGCAGGTACTTCAGTTCGCCGCGATTTTCCGCGCCGCAACTCCGGTAGCTCACGCTCCCGGGTCGTCACGCGCCTTTACTTCCCCTCTCAAAGCTGAAACAATACCGACCCAACAGCAGGGCCCCCCACGGGCCCTGCTTCTTTTACATAGCGAAACGGGAAATCCCCGCGTCCACCGTCCCCAACCCCTAGACTGTCCCCACTTCCATGTCCGACATCATCCCCATGACCCGCGTCGGTTACGACAAGTTGCGGGCCGAGCTCGACGATCTCGAGAACGTGAAGATGCCGGAAGTGTCGCAACGCGTCGCCGACGCCCGCGCCGAGGGAGACCTCAAGGAGAACGCCGAGTACCACGGCGCCCGCGAGTCGCAGGGGATGCTCCAGGCCAAGATCAACTACCTGAAGGACAAGCTCTCGCGCGCGGAGATCGTCGATATGTCGAAACTGCCCAAGGACGAAGTCGTTTTCGGCTGCACTGTGACGGTCAAAGACCTCGACTTCGGCGACACCGAGCAGTTTACGCTCGTCGGCGCCGGCGAAGAGGATTTCGATGAGGGCAAGATCAACGTCACCAGCCCGCTCGCCCAGGGCCTGATCGGCAAGAAGGTTGGCGACACCGCCGAGGTCGAAGTCCCGGCCGGCGTCAACAAGTTCAAGATCCTCGAAATCGCGTTTGAGGAATAGCGACTCGGCACTGCTCGCCACGCCAAGCGACAGGGAGCCGGAACGCGTTAGCACCCAGAGTTGAAGCGGAGAGACGCTAAGCTGAGCGTGTACCCGACGCAACTCCGGGCGCTAACGCGTTCCGGCTCCCTGATTATTCCAAGTCGAAGTTGATCGTGCTTCAAGCCGCTTCGTTCGCAAGCACAATCCGCACGTCGGTCACCGTCATCCCAGCGCCCAGCGCCGCTTGCAGGCCTGCGTCGGCGTCTTCGAAAGCGTGGCATTTCTTCGCCTCGACGCCCATCATCTTCGCGGCGGTGAGGAACAGGTCCGGGGCCGGCTTCGGAGCGATCGGGTCGTCGGCCGTCAGGATCACGTCGAACCAGTCGAGCGCGCCGATCCCTTCGAGGGCGCCGACGACGTTCAGGCGGCAACCGCCCGACACCACCGCCATTGGCAGCACGCCGCGGTAGCGCCGCGCTGTCTCGACCACCGGCTCGATCGCGCCGACCTCGCTGAGCCGCTCGCGGAAGCGGCCCTCCTTCGCGTCGAGAAACTCCAACGCGTCGATCGACACGCCGTGCTCGGTGTTGATGATGTCGAGGATAATGTCGGTCGGCTTGCCGGCGTGCACGTCAATGAAGCCCTTCGGCAGCTTCACGCCGAAGGGCAATAGGCATTCGTCCCACAGCAGCGTGTGCAGCGGCATTGAGTCAACCAGCGTGCCGTCACAGTCGAACACCAAGCCAGCCGTGCCGGCGGGGATTTCAATCATCTTTTTACTTGCGAGCTTTTTGTTGCGAGAGAGTCGCGAGGTGGGGTAGGTGGTGGGACCAAAGTATACCCCTAGCCCGCCGCCAGGACGATGCGGTACCGGGCCTTGCCCGACTCCAGGTGCTCGAACGCCGCGTTGATCTCGCTCATCGGGAACTCTTCGATCGTCGGCTTGAGGGCGTGGCGGTCGCAGAACTCAATCATCTTGCGGGCGGTGACAATCCCTCCCGTCGGCGAGGCGGTGATCGCCTTCTGGCCCAAGATTAGAGGAAAGACCGTCGCCGAGACTTTTTCCGCCGCCCCCACCAGGTGCAACTTCCCGCCGGGACGCAAGGCGGCGACGTACGCGTCCCAGTCAAGGGCGACGTTCACCGTCACCAAGATCATGTCGAAGCTCCCCGCGGCGGCCGCTAGCTGCGACGCGTCACGAGTGTTGAGGAAGTGGTGGGCGCCCATTTCGCGGGCTTCCGCTTCTTTGTCGGGCGACGTGCTGAAGGCGGTCACCTCGCATCCCCACGCCCGGGCGAAGCCAATCGCCATATGCCCCAGCCCGCCGATCCCGACCACCGCGACGCGGTCCGTCGGGCTGATGTTGTTCTCGACAAACGGCCCAAACACGGTAAGCCCGCCGCAGAACAGCGGCCCGCAATCTGCCAGATCGACGCCATCAGGGACCGGAATCGCCCACGCCGCCTGAGCGCGGACGCGATCCGCGAACCCGCCGTGTCGCGCCACGATCGTCCCCTCGGCGTCGGGGCAGCGGTTTTGGTAACCCGACAGGCACTGGTCGCACCGCAGGCACGACCCCGAAGTCCAACCGACGCCAACACGCTGGCCAGCCTCTAAACCCTTCACCCCCTCGCCGAGCGCCACGATCTTGCCAGCGACCTCGTGTCCGCCGACGAACGGGTACTGGGTCATCCCCCAGTCGTTCTTCAGCATACTCAAATCGCTGTGGCAGATGCCGCAGTACTCGACCGCGATCTCGACCTGGTCGTAGCCGAGCGGGCCCGGATCGAATTCAAACGCCTCAAACGGGGCGTCAGGGCCAGCAGCGGCGTAGGCATGAATCGTCATGGCGGGGCTCCGGAGGGAGGGCGTGCAGGCGGGACGCCCCTGATTCAACGCCAAGCGAGCCGCTTCGACAAGCGTCCCAGCCAATCTGTAGGAGGCGTCTCCGACGC